GTCGCACGGTAGCACAAGATCCACTGCTATGAGTCGCACAGTTTTAGATCCAAAAGTGTTAAGAAGAAAACTAAACTTGAAGTAATGGGTTGTCGAGTTAAACTAGAGGATTACATGAGTGATGGGCTTCCAATTTAATACATTTTGCCATTGATTTTCTGGACTTTTTATTTTTTGTTGATTTTGAGGATTACACAAGTGCTGGACTTACAATTATGATACCATTGTCATTGATTTTCTGGGCTTCTGATTTGAGGAATGTTAGGCTTCTGATTGTTATATTTTTTGTGGTTTTTGTTGGTGATTGGTGGTCAAAATTAAAATCATCGCTTCTCTCTCTATTTTGTTGTTGGAGTGGTGATGGTGAAATAGTGATAGTGTTGTTGGCAGTAGTCACATATTCACGGAGTGTACAATGACATGTGACCTGTGCAGTGTGACTGTGAACATAAATCAGTGATCTGTGATCAATTTTATTTAATCTATAACGTGTGAACATTGATCTGTGACATTCACGATAACCTGTGGCATGTGAACAATAACATGTCATATGTCTTTTGTGCACTTGTTACAGATCACAGGTTATAATTAACAAGTTACATGTTACAATTCACAGCCCATATTATCATTTACGTCATAATGTATAGGTCACATATCAATACTAAAGGTCACAAATCAGATGTCACATGTCTTTATACACTAATAATCGATCACAGATTCAAGTTCACAGGTTACAGTTCATATGTTATAGGTCGTGCAATTGTCACAGGTCACGGATCACGAGTTATAGTTAAAGTCACAGACTATAGTCAGATTATCATTCACATGTCATAATGTATAGGTCATATATTAATGTCAACATGTAACATATCAATATTAAATGGTCACAAATCAAATGTCACATGTCTTTGTACACTAATAACCGGTCAGATTCAAGTTTACATGTCACAGTTCCTATGTTATAGGTCACATGTAATAATTCACAAGTTATAGATCATTTTGCATGGGTAACAGATTAATGTCTACAAGTCAAAAATCTAAAGAGAATTGGTCAATAGCACATGTAACAAATCAATGTTCAAAGGTCACAGATTTTAGAAAACTAATACCAGGTCATTAGATCAACATCACAGGTAACAATTTACAAGTAGTTTAAATTACACTGCCAAAAATTTACAAAATTTAAAATAATCTGATAACAAATCAAACGTTCGAATCAAATTTACACTCCATTGACATCAGTCGATTTTTCAAATTGAAGCTCAATTAGACAATCTGCCAAAAATTCTACTGACTGTGACTAATATTCTTTTTAATCAGTATTTTTCAATAATCACCAATATACCAGATTCTGGGGATGGTAGATGATATTACGATACAATTCTTTGAATTTTAGCTTCTTGGTGATGAATTTATCTTTCTAAGGAGGTGAAATTTGTATTTTAGGGAGCCTAATTTCAAAGTTAAGTGGAAGCTTGATTTCAGGAAGGGATAATTAGGCTCAGTACTTTAAAAAAGAAAATAATTAGAATAATACACTTAAACCTAATTGTGTATTTAATCTCCGTATTAATTACGGTCAAAATTAATTATTAGAATAATACACTTAAACCTAATTGTGTATTTAATCTCCGTATTAATTAAGGTCAAAATTAATCAAAACCAGCATAAAATCCTCTCCAATCGAAGGCGGAAACTCCTCTCCAATCTAAAAGGGATAATTCTTCATCTTAAATCAAAACCAACATAAAATCTTCTCCAATCTAAGGTGGAAGCTCCTTTCCAATCTAAAAAGGATAATTCTTCATCTTAGAAGACGGTGTTCCCAATATGCGAGGTTCGGTTCTCGGTGGAACTAGTGCGATCAGTGTCGGTTTCTTCGGAGGATCCGATCAAGAGTTCTTCGAGAATTTGCTGGAATTTAAGAATGGTTAATGAATCGTTTGAATGGGTTGAGAGAAAAAAAAAATTGTGTTTAAGCCTGTGCTTAAAGATTGGCAATCTGTATTTAAAGTTGGACTATTAGAAGTTGGGATTCTTCCTTGTAAATTTGTAATGATTTTGTTTTGAATCATATTGTCGGTACAAAGATTGGGGGTTCAATATTTGATAGGTCTTGTACAAAATAGTGTGCAGCACGCCTTTTTAGCTATACAAATCCTTAAGCATGCGAGAGTGCAAAGGATTCTGCTAGCATCTAAATCTTTAGTCTGAGACCTGATTCATCCATTCTTGCTACACTTGTGTGGAATCGACAGAGAACTTTTGATTGGATTATTAAAATGGTTTTAATTCTTGCATCTTAATTGATTAGAAAATAAACTGTGGTTATTTTATTTCATTGCAAGGCGTTCCCATTACTACAATGGCATCAAAGCTATTGGTTAACAGTTAACTCATGATTTGCAATTGCTACTATGATTCGTGGTGAAAGTGAAAGCGTGTTTGGCAACCTGTGTTCGAAGTGGAATTAGTGTGCCTTTGCTGCTTTCGCAATAAGGGAATTAAAATCCTTAATATTAATTCTCATCTCTCATTTGTTCAAATCTGCATATTGGTTCACTCAATAAATTGGCTCATCACTTATTTGAGAATCCAATTACAATAACCATATTGCACAAGGTATTCTGCTATGTCTCGATCGGGCAAATAATAACTCAATTGTGTTACACCAATATGAAAATTGTTAATTTGTTACTTTTTTTAGTATTCGGTCACTTTTTGAAATTTGTGTTATTTTTTTTTAGTGTTTGTCATTTTTTATTAAATTTCTATCTTTTTTTGAGTGACAAACATCATTTCTTGAATAAAAGTGATCTTGTATGTCCTTTTTAATAAAAAAATGACACTTGACTTAAAAAAGACCGTGATTCACTTTTTTAATGTCACTTTTTTGAATGTTTGTCACAATTTTTTTTTGAATTAATGTCACTTTTTTTAATCACCTTTTTTTAATTGTTTGTTACTTTTTTTTGTGACTAATATCAGTTTGTAATAAAAGTGACATTGTATTTCACTTCACTTTTTAATGAAATTGATATTATATATCCTTTTTTTTTTTTAATTAAAAAGTGATATTAAAAGTGACATTACACTTAATTTTTTATTAAAAAGTGATACAATGTGGAGCAACTTTTATTAAAAAGTGATACAGTTCACTAAAAAAAGTAATTGGGGTTTCGTCACTTTTTTTAGGCCCTGTTTGGGAGGGATTAGATTTTCCTACAGTAAATCAATTCTCATTTTCAACCACACATTCTTCAATAAAATAATATTTTCCATCATATCAATAATTTTTTTTTCTTTTTCAATCACACATTTCCCATTATATCACTATTCAAAATCAATTCTTCTCCCAAAAATCTCTCCCAAACAAGCTCTTAGTGTTGCTATTTTTTTGAGTTTTTATCATTTTTTTTAATTTCTGTCACTTTATTGAATTGATTCCAAAGTTTTGATTGGTGTTGTCACTGTAGTCGTTAATTTTTTAATTTTTGTCCCTTTATTAAATTGAATCTAAGGTTTTGATTAGTGTTTGTATCACTTTTTGAGAGAGTCACTTTTTTTAGTTTTGTCACTTTTTTTTGAATTTGTATCACTTTTTTTTAAAAAGTAAAAAAGTGACATTGTGTGACTTTTTTCATTTTACACAGTATTTTTTATTTCATAAAAACCTTTCATATGATTTTTCAAAACATCCCTAATTTTAAAGGTATTTTTGTAAGTACCCCCTTCAGGAAATTGAATATTAACATAATCAGTAATACATATATATATATAAACATCTGATTTTTGAAATTACAAACCTTTCATTTGAGAAGTGAAGTCGGGCAAACTTAATATCTGGGTTATGCATTTTTCCCTATGGTTTTTCTATTAAAAACCTTTTTAAAATTATAATATATATATATATACAGAAATGATCTAATGAGCACCGGTGCTCATCTTATCCTAAACACCAATGAGTTGGCACATTAATTCATTGGTGGATTGGAACTCACAAAATCTTTATCCACCAATGAATTAATGTGCCAACTCATCGGTGCTTAGGATAAGATGAGTCTCATCTTATCCTAAGCACCGATGAGTTGGCACATTAATTCATTGGTGGATAAAGATTTTGTGAGTTCCAATCCACCAATGAATTAATGTGCCAACTCATTGGTGTTTAGGATAAGATGAGCACCGGTGCTCATTAGATCATTTTTGTATATATATATATATATACACACACACACACACACACACACACACAAATATCTTTTGAAACCGCAAACTTAAATGGACCAAATGGTGATCGAAACGACGAAACATAATAGATTTAGGATGTATTTCCAATAAAAATAGGTTGGGACCAATGATGCAACTTTTATAAAGCTTAGCCCCGGTTTGGCCATCATTATGCCAAAAGATCATGCCCCCCTTTTGGCCCCCTTTTTTATTTCCCATTATATTACATTAATTTTTTTTCTCTATTCGTTTCAACCACACATTTATCAAATAAAATAATATTGCATACAGATCTAAAACTTTTTATTACTTTTCTACCACACATTCTCCCATCAATTAGTATTCCAAAAATTTTCAACACCCAAAAATGGGGGCCAAATAGGGACATAGCATAAATAAAATAATATTACACACAAATCTAAAACTTTTCATTATTTTTTTAAAACACATTATCCCATCAATCATTATTACTCTTTCTCTAATTTTTAATTACACATTATTTTATAAAATAAAATAAAAAAATCAATATTTTTTAAGAAAATTACTATTCCAATTAAAAATTTGGGTGGCTTAACTCTGCAATTTTCTCTGTTTATTACTGGTACATTGGTAATAATAATATATGTTAGATTTCGATCGATAAAATAGAAATTCCTGTTCTTGAATCACGAGTGATTCAGATTCTTCGATGAGTTCAAGAATTTGGCTAGGGTTTTGAGCAGCTGTCTTTGTGTGTATATTTACACATCCACACAAGCTTATATTCGATCATGGCACTGGCTACGATGACGCAGTCGCTTAGGTTCATTCCTCCGGCGGTAGCCACCGGCGCTGGAAACCTCGATTCTCTGAATCGCGTTCTTACTGACCTCTGCACCCGCAATCCTAAGGTTTGTTATCCTTTTTTGATTTTAATAATGAAAAGTTCTGCGTTTCAGTGCGAATTTTAGTTCTTGAAATGTTTGAGAGAGACTAAATCTTAGGTTTTGTTTATAAGGATATTTTTTTGTTCCTAAAACTGAAAAATTATAGCCACAGAATCATATGCCTGCAACTTTAGCAAGAAATTTAACCTACTTTGATGCCATAACTAAAAAGACTGAAATTTTCTTAATTTGCTGATTGAATACTAAGCCCTTGTTTGACATCCTTTTTTTTCCTCATTTTTTTTCTCTCATTCTCTTTCTCACTTTTTTTTCTCTTCCTTCGTTTCAACGGCACATTGTATCAATAAAATAATATTACACATATTACCAAAAATTGTCCTCACTTTGTAACCACACATTTTTCCATCAATCACTATTATAAATCAAATTCTTCCATAAAATGGGCGTCAAACAAGGACTAATATGATATTAATATTTTATGGTATTAGATTTTTTTTGTTTAGAGTGCCTTGAATTGCTGATCCTTGTTCAATCGGTAATTCACTAGTGTTTCGATCTTATCCTATGAATAGGATGGGGCCGCATTAGCATTGAGAAGACATGTAGAGGAATATGCTCACGATCTCAGTGGAGAAACATTTTCCCGATTTATGGATCAGCTGTATGATCGCATTACTAGTCTTTTAGAAAGCAATGAAGTCACTGAGAATATGGGTGCTCTGCGGGCTATTGATGAACTGATAGATGTTATAGTTGGGGAAAATGCTGTAAAGGTTGCTAAAATTGCAAATTACATGCGAACTTCTTTTGAGGCAAAGCGGGAACCTGACCTTTTGGTTCTTGCAAGTAAAGTTTTGGGTCACTTGGCTAGAGCTGGTGGGGCAATGACCGCTGATGAAGTAGAACGCCTGGTATGCTGAAAATTTGCTGTGTTTTTAATCATGATGGTCTTGTATTTTACAAGGGCATTTCTACCCTCGTCTGTGCAGGTGAACCTTGCACTGGAATGGCTTCAAGGTGATAGAATTGAATATCGTCGTTTTGCTGCTGTTTTGATATTAAAAGTAAGTGCACAATTTTTACTCCCACTACTATCACTAATCTAGCTAGTTAGAAAATTTTGGAGTCCTGAGCTGCATGGAAATCTGCCAAGTTAGACAATGCTATTATTTTGAGGAATATATATGTCCTATTTCTATGTGCTTGTTGTCTATGCTCATTTTTACACAATTCTCCCCCACCTCAGCTTCTTTTATTCTTTGGGTTGCTAAAGCTCACACTCACATTTAGGTCTTTACTCAGTTATTGCTTCCCCCATGATTAATATATTCATGTCTTGAGGGAAAACTCATTCTATAGAAGCATCAAGTATGGTGAAATTGTGGAAGTATTATAGTTTTCCAGTCTTTATAACAAAGATTATTGTCTGATGGAAAATTTTGTTGCCTCGCTTGATCTGTGGCTATCCGTAATGATGGTTGTAGGAAATGGCTGAGAATGCTTCAACAGTTTTCAACGTCCACATTCCTGAGTTTGTAGATGCTATCTGGGTTGCATTGAGGGATCCAAAGCTGGATGTTCGAGAGCGTGCTGTGGAGGCATTGCGAGCTTGCCTGCGGGTTATTGAAAAGCGTGAGACTCGTTGGCGTGTTCAGTGGTAAGTCTAGATTCATAATATGAAGCTAGTTCATTTTACATTGAAAGAAACAAATTATGTAAACACTTAATTACTTTAAAGCTCATGTGGTTCCCGCCTCTTAAAGCTCATGTGGTTCCCGCCTCTCAAAGATGTTTGAGTGTGCCACTCTGGTTTGACATGTCTCGCCTATCTTCCTGTTCTTGTGCTTTACTTATATTGTTTCCAACCAAAGTACTTACTCTTTTCTAATTTTTTTCTAAGAGGGGGTCAAAAGAGTAAAGAAATTTTCATTTTGGGGTTAATTATGATGGATGAATTAGCTCGCAAGTTGCGTAGAGATTGAGTGAGGAAAATGACACACTGAGTTGGAATATAAGAGGGCTGAAACAAATAAAGAATTGTTAGACAAATAGTTTGTTATGGAGAACAAATTCGGGGAATGAGTTGCTTTATCTTCGTTAGGAAGGTCTGGACTATTGCTAGGACTATGTGATGGGGTCAGTTAAGGTAACTGAAGAACTAGTTAGTAAATTCTTGTTGTCTTATGAAACTAGAATCATCATGTGGTTTATGGTGGTATTCAGGTTTGTAAGGCCCAGATATGGCCAACGAGAAAAATGATTTTCTGGAGGATCTAATAGAGTTTAAGTGTCATTTGTTGTTTTGTTGGTCTGTAGGAGGAATTTCAGTGTGATCAAATTTTGGCATGTAAATTGCTAACTTCTAGAATACCCAAAAGCTTGAGATATGTTGATGGTTTGTTAAAGAACTTGGGTTGAAAAAGGTTCTTGTGCAATGAAAGTTGATCTGGTCCGATTTTAGGAAACTGCTGTGTAGCAAACTGGATAAATATTTGGAGATGGCACAAATTTTCTCGCGAGGTTAGATCACTTTTACCCTAGATACTTCTGTTATCAAATGCTATTTGATTCCTTTCAAAGTTGGAAAAATGTGATGAGAGAGATTTAGTATTTGCTTGGTCATGCGCTTATGAGCTGTCCATTCTGCGGAATATGTGGATAATAAGTGAGTAGTAAATTGTGGTTCTTGCGAACTGTGTAGATAAAAAGTATGTTTGACTCGCTTAAAAAAATTTAAGCTTCGATGAACATGTACTTAGACTAGGTTTTCAGAATTGGTGGAAGGAAAGCAAGATTCTGGGATGGGATGGTTATTATTCATGTCCAAAATGAAATTGTCAAAAAAAGAGCTCAAGATTTAGAACAAGGAAGTGTTTAAAGACTTAAGATTTTAAATAGAAAGCATGTTGGTAAGATATTTTAAATTAAAATAAAAAACAATTGTTCACGTGTGATTAGAGTTGAAATGTACAGTATGGAAGCTTAATTGACTATATTAGCTCTAGGTTTTTTGACGAAGTGGAAAATATTGATCAATGCTGTGGTCAAATTTTTTTTTTTTATTCCTTTTCGCATTCACAAATTGTTAGCATGTACTTCTTATCTTGGACTGCTGTTTGCTTAATCTTGCTATTGTCAGGTATTATCGCATGTTTGAGGCGACACAAGATGGACTGGGCAAAAATGCCCCTGTTCATAGCATACATGGTTCTCTACTGGCAGTTGGAGAACTACTGAGGTATGCTGAGACAATTAGTTAATTAGATTCACAAGTCATGATCCGTTTCAAAATTTTGTCAATCTTAAGCAAGTTTTTGCATAAATTTATTAATTATTTCCCTTTGCTCTTTCAAGTTTGTATATGACAGTTCATTCTATCCTTTCCTCTGCCTCTTTCTAGGTTCAGCGTTCCTTGAAGTCAAATATTCAAGGACTTGAACCTTGTTGTTCCATGGCCTTAATTTTATCAATTAGGTTAGGCCTTATCGGCATCTTTGGATTTTAAGTGACAGCCAATATAAATGATATGGATTATTTTCTTACAAGTTCATTTTGGGTGGTAACTGTGTATGCTCTCTTCGGACAGTGAAAGCTGAAGCTTAGCCAATTCATCAAATTATGTTATGCAATTTTTGTGCATCCAATGTTTTGCATTCTCATAAATTTTCTATTATATTGATTTACCCTTAACCGGCGAGTACAATTTGTTAACTAACTGGGCAGGAACACAGGCGAATTCATGATGTCTAGATACAGAGAAGTTGCAGAAATTGTTCTGCGATATCTAGATTACCGGGACCGGCTTGTTCGTCTCAGCATAACTTCTTTGCTTCCTCGAATTGCGCATTTCCTCCGTGACCGTTTTGTGACAAACTATCTGACGGTTTGTGAGATTTAGTTTTTGTTTATCATTTATTTTTGACTATTATACATGACATTTTTATATTCATTTTGCTTCAATCTTTGGCTTATGACCTTTTCTTTCGCAGGTTTGCATGAAGCATATACTTCATGTTCTTAAAATACCTGCAGAATCTGCTAGTGGGTTCATTGCTCTTGGTGAGATGGCTGGTGCTTTGGATGGTGAACTTATCAACTATTTGCCGACAATAACATCTCACTTGCGTGATGCGGTATGCTAGCCTAGCTAGGTCATTTGTTAATACTAGTGGTTCCCAACAGTAGTTCTTTTTTTGGGCTATATGTTTGCACAAGGACACTTCTGGTATTGTTTGCATCTGGCTATTATAGATTATTCTTCTGAATGTTGCTGCTTTATTTGTAGATTGCACCTCGTAGGGGAAGACCCTCTCTTGAGGCTTTGGCTTGTGTTGGAAATATTGCGAAAGCAATGGGACCCACTATGGAGCCTTATGTTCGTAGTCTCTTGGATGCAATGTTTTCTGTTGGTTTATCCTTCACCTTGGTGGAAGCCCTCGAACAAATAACTATCAGGTGCTTGGGATAGAACTTTCTTATACGCTGTCCTTTGTCCATTTGCATTCAGGATCTCTGACCTCTAAGATTTTTCTGGTGCTTCAGTATTCCATCTTTGCTTCCAACCATTCAAGAACGGTTGCTTGAATGCATTTCAGTAGTTCTTTCGAGACACCACCATGTTCCGTCAAGGTCGTCTGTTGTTATTACTCGGGCTAATAGCATAACAGCCAGTCAACAATTATTAGAACTTGGTGGTTCTGCTCCAGTTCAACTTGCTTTACAAACCCTTGCCCGGTTTAATTTTAAGGTGTGTCCATTTTGAATTATCAACTTTGCTGCTTTATTTTCATGTCACTTAATATTGTAACTATTAATGTACTAGGGTCATGATCTTCTTGAGTTTGCAAGGGAGTCTGTTATTGTATATTTGGAAGATGAGGATGGAGCCACACGCAAAGATGCTGCTTTGTGTTGCTGCAAATTAGTGGGAAATTCCTTATCAGGCGCCTCTTGTGCACCATTTAGTTCCAGTAGGACTAGTCGTGCTGGTGGAAAGCGCCGCCTTCTTGTTGAGGAGGTTGTTTCTAAATAAACTGTATATTTTCTGCTTTGGGTTTTAACCCTTGCTGATAAATAGCTTGTTTTGGAGTGCTGAAATTATAATTTAAGCAGTTCCACAAAATGTGGGGAAAAAGTGGGTAATATGTTGTGGGTCCATAGAATGGGCGGATAAAATGTGTGTTTGACTGAATTAAATTATAATTTAAGCTTTCCCAAACCAGATAATATTTTGTTGCTCAAAGATCTTTCACTCTTGATCTACTAGTATATACCCCACATGTCTCTGCAATTCTTCCACCTCACCTTTCAACCCCTGGACTCGAGCCCTTATTTCAGCATTACTCAATGAACTAGCCAAAGCCTTACTGTCCTTTTGTAACAGTAGTGGCTTTTTCGTGTTCTGTTCGACCTGTCGGTTTGTCATAACTTCAGCATAGGTCATTTCTTGTTGATTGTTGACTTTAACAGTTTGACGTTTAGTTTTGTCTCTAATGACAAAAAAGTCTACAACTGTCTGAAACATTCGAAGAACCAACGCTCATCCCTCTCCATTCGCCCCTTCCGGTATCATCACCACTCCTTTACGACGCCTCTCACCATATTGTGCGATCGTCAGATATCTACCACGACTGTTCCCACAACGCTGTGCCATAAAAGCTCTTGATGACTCATAAAACTTTGCAACAAACTCCTCCTGCTTGCTTGCCCCCTTCAATTTATCCATCAAATTCAACATCCACAATGCACCAAACCACCCCATATATATTGCTTCGATGTCCTCGATCCCCATTCGATCAACCTAACAATGTTGGATTCATTTATAGACACACAAAACTCCTTTGCTTCCACTCTAAAACGAAGATTAAACTCCTTTGAACCAAACAATTCCGCATGCCGCTGAATTGGTGCATCTGACAGTTGAACGGAAGGATGGAATGACCTGGGCAGGTCAGACAGAGTCTGCAGGAGGCCAGTCGCCGGCGCGTGTGGTGGGATCCACGTGCTGCCGGAGAACCTCCCGGAAAAGGCGCCGCCCTAGCCTTGGTCGGAATGGCCTGTGCAGCCTTCCGGTCAGGCCCGTGGAGCCAGGCGGTGGCCGGAAGCCGCTCCTGTTTCAAGATCCGAGCTGCGGCGCTAGGGTAGCACCTAGGGCCGCCGTTTGCACGCGTCTTCCCTGGCCGATTCGGCCATGGTTTGGTGGCGTGAGGCAGGTGGTTGGGTCAAGTTCTATTGGGTCGGTAGGTGAGTTGGCGGGTTTGGATGTTGAAGGGTAGCTCGCCATGTGGGAGAGAGTTTCTTCAGTCGCTTAGGGTTATGGCTGGTAGAATAGGATATTCTAAGTTATAGATAAAACAAGTATCCCATCTGCAAATGCAAGTTAAATTGAAAAGAAGTACTTAAGAAAATGAATCCCAAACAGAGGCATTCTCTTACAAGTTCATTTTAAGTGGTAACTGTGTACGCTATCTTAGAACAGTCAAAGCTGAAGCTAAGCCAATACACCAAATTGCATTATGCAATTTTTGTGCATCCAGTGTTTAGAATGCTCATAAATTTTCTGCCATAGTGATTTATCCTTAACCAGAATACAATTTATTTCTAACTGGGCAGGAACACAGGCGAATTCATGATGTCAAGATACAGAGAAGTTGCAGAAATTGTTCTGCGATATCTGGAGCACCGGGATCGGCTTGTTCGTCTCAGCATAACTTCTTTGCTTCCTCGAATTGCGCATTTCCTTCGCGACCGTTTTGTGACAAACTATCTGACGGTTTGTGCGATTTAGTTTTTGTTTCCTCAATAAATCATTTATTTTTGGGCTATTATAAATTAAATTTTAATCTTCAGTTGGTTGCTTCAATTTTTGGCTTATTACCTTTCCTTTCGCAGATTTGCATGAAGCATATACTTCATGTTCTTAAAATTCCTGCAGAATCTGCTAGTGGGTTCATTGCTCTTGGTGAAATGGCTGGTGCATTGGATGGTGAACTTATCGACTATTTGCCGACAATAACATCGCACTTGCGTGATGCGGTATGCTAGGCTAGCTAGGTCATTTGTTAATACTAGTGTTTCTCAATAGCAGTTCTTCTTTGGTCGACAATTTTGCACGATGGCACTTCTGGAAATGTTTGCATCTGTCTATTATAGATTATTCGTATGAAAAGTGTGTGCCTTTATTTGTAGATTGCACCTCGTAGAGGAAGACCCTCTCTTGAGGCTTTGGCTTGTGTTGGAAATATTGCAAAAGCGATGGGACCCGCAATGGAGCCTAATGTTCGTAGTCTCTTGGATGCTATGTTTTCTGTTGGATTATCCTTCACCTTGGTCGAAGCCCTCGAACAAATAACTGTCAGGTGCTTGGGATAGAACATTCTTACATGTCCTCTTTTGTCCATTTGCATTCAGGATCCCATCTTATATCTGACCTCATGATTTTTCTGGTGCTTCAGCATCCCATCTTTGCTTCCTACCATTCAAGAACGGTTGCTTGAATGCATTTCAGTAGCTCTTTCGAGACACCATCATGTTCAGTCAAGGTCGTCTGTTGGTATTACTCGGGCTAATAGCATAACTGCTAGTGCACAAGTATTGGAACTTGGTGGTTCTCCTCCAGTTCAACTTGCTTTACAAACTCTTGCCAGATTCAATTTCAAGGTATGTTGATTTTAAATTATCTATTGTGCTGCTTTATTTTCTTGTCAATTAACTTTGTAACTTCTACTGTATTAGGGTCATGATCTTCTCGAGTTTGCAAGGGAGTCTGTTGTTGTATATTTGGAAGATGAGGATGGAGCCACACGCAAAGATGCTGCTTTGTGTTGCTGCAAATTAGTGGCAAATTCATTATCAGGTTCCTCTTGTGCACCGTTTAGTTCCAGCAGGACTAGTCGTGCTGGTGGAAGGCGTCGCCGTCTTGTTGAGGAGGTTGTTTCTAAATAAACTGTATATATTCCTCTTTAGATTTTTACTCTTGCTGATACATAGCTTATTTTATAAAAATGAATTAATAATAAGCAGCAGGTCCCACAGGATGGGTGGATTAAAAGTGGGTAATATGTTGTGGGTCCATAGAATGTGTGATGATTTAAGCTTTCCCAAGCAAGCTAATAGTTGTTGTTCAATAATCTTTCACACTTGATCTACTAGTATATACCCCACAGCCATGAAGAGTTTTTCTTTTTGGATCTAGGAGTTTAACATAATAGAGTAATCCTTACCTGCTGCAGCACTTCAATGTGGTTGCACTTTCTATTGATTCATCTAGTCCTTGGTTTTTTAAGGCAAAGATGTCTATATTCATTTTTGGCCTCAGCCCCCTCTTTACTGGCTGCTGCACATGGAGCTAATGATTACATAGCCCCTTTAACAAATGTTGCACTCATTTGTCAAGTTGCTTCTTTTGTTGCAGATAGTGGAAAAACTTCTTATTGCAGCTGTGGCTGATGCTGATGTTACTGTTCGAAAATCCATATTTTCCTCTTTGCATGAGAATGGAGGATTTGATGATTTTCTGGCACAGGCTGATAGTTTGACTGCTATTTTTGCTGCCTTGAATGATGAGGTATTTCTGTTATAAATCTGGGGAAGTAGAAAACTCCTTCATCCATGTTTCTTTTTATTGAATAATATATATGTTATTGAAGTGTGGAACTGTGGATAATTTGGGAAGGGTACCTTGGAAGAAAGGAGGTTCAAAAGTGGTTCTCAGTATTCTTTGTTATTATATGTCCAACTGTGAATTATGAGTTTCAGATTTCTTCTGTGTCCAAGTTCAACAATTATCATATTACGCCTGTATGAAATATGTGCAGTTACCTGGGTATAGTCCGGTGAAGTGCTTTATTATCGAAGTTTGAGAACTGGAACAATATTTTTGCAGAAAGTAGTAATATAACAATTTTCTGAAACCAATGTTTTGGGAGATGGCTTAAGTTCTTGTGGCTATTAGCTGTTCTACATAGATAAAGAAAGAAAAATATCTTGAAGAGTAAGATAGTGAACCTGGAAGAAGTAATTAACTGGAAAAATTGGGGACATCAGCAAAAACAAAAAAGTGAAACTTACACTGCAGTTTATCATTTTATGTGAAGTTCAGTTGGAAAAATGAAATATTGGAACATGGCCCTCAATTTGTTGTTTTATGAATATTTTTTAAAACATAACTCCATGCATAAGCCCCTGTTTGAGCCCCATTTTTGGGGAGAAATGTATTTTGGAATGGTGATTTTTTGGATTATGTGTGGTTGAAATGTATGGAGAAGTTTTCGGTTTATGTGTAAAAATTATTTATGAGAGAATGTGCGGTTGAAAATGAATTTTGAAAATGGGAGGCCAAACATAGGCTAATTTTCACGCAATTTCTGAAACCAAGTTTGTGCATATGTGATATGTCACGATATTGACATTTGCATTAGGTTTGAAGACTTGAGAGTTTTCTTGCTATAAGGCAGGCTGGAGAGTGAGCCACAGAAGTATCTTTGAGTAAAATATAATAAAAATGTCTTAGTTTTTAGGTGTACTAATTATGTTTTTAAGAAGGAATGTCTAAACACAATTTCTGTTTTCTTGCTAAACATGTACACTTTGTCACACTCTTTATTACTTGTTTTAGGATTTTGAAGTTCGGGAGTTAGCGATTTCTGTTGCTGGAAGACTATCTGAAAAAAATCCAGCATATGTTCTTCCAGCACTCCGACGCCATCTGATTCAGTTGTTAACTTATCTAAAACAAAGGTGGTGTAGAAAGATTTTAATTATTGAATCTTTATAGACAACTTTTATTCATGTGATATGATAATGTTGTTATTCTTTCCTTTGCCTTCCTATTTCTTTAGCACGAAATTTATTGGCATCACTATCTGGGTTAGCAGTGCAGATAGCAAATGTAGAGAAGAAAGTGCAAAATTATTGGGTTGCTTAATTCGTAACTGCGAGAGACTAATACTCCCATACATTGCTCCAGTACACAAGGTTCAGTATTTACTTTCCTGCTCATGGTTTTATCGAGTATTTCACTTGAACTCATGTAGTTGTCCAACATTTCAGGCCCTTACTGCAAAACTCTCTGAGGGAACTGGGGTCAATGTTAATAATGGCCTTATAAGTGGAGTTCTTGTAACTGTTGGGGATCTTGCTAGAGTGGTAGGTGTCTCCATTAGAATTTTGCTTTTTCATTGCACTTCTTTGATTACTTATCAAAAAAAAAAAAAAAAAATTGCACTTCATCTCTGTGCTACTTTAATGTTTAATGTGCTCCTTGTCAATATGCAAGGCTGACTTAATATTTGATTTGGTATTGTACTTTAGACAGACCTCTGATCCCTGGCTTATTTTTCATCTAATACGAGTTTCTGTTTTATATATGTTTAATGTGGCTCTTAAAACTGTTTCAGATGTGGAAAATGTATTTTGTGCAAGTCAATTGTTGGTTGGTTTTTCTGTTTCTTCTTGTTAAGTATGCATCACTTGTGCTCCATCAGAGCTTAGAACATCTATGCATCACTTGTGCTCCATCAGAGCTTAGAACATCATTTGCCTAAGTTGTTTTTAATAAATAAGTACTGTTTCACTGTCTTTTGATAATTTGAGGCCAATTATACAAGATACAGCTGTTAGGTCCTTCATCGTCCACACATATTTGTTTCATATTATCAATTGTAATGTGGGATTTTTTTCCCATAAATGTGAGTTTATGAGATTTATGCAATATTGGGGAGGATGGGATTGGAAATGTTTCTTCTTTCTTAAACTAGCTGCCGTAATTTGACTACCACAAATGCGTTTAGGTAAAAACTGCAGATACCAGTATTCCTAAGACTTTTACCTCTTTGATGTCTTTTCCAATTATAAAGTGACCGATAGCCCTATCTTTCTCTTTTCAGCCCATCACAGGTGCGTAAGGTTGGGCCATATCTTCCATCTTGAACACTATAACTTCTTTTAACCGGGGGAATTTTGATGTGTAGAAAAAGTTTGTTAGATTAACCCGTGGATTGTTTGGTGGAATTCACTCTTATGATATATTCTCGTTCATGCTTGAGAGAATGGAAGAGAAGTTGTTCGATCTTCACAGTTCTCTTCGTTTCCATGTTCAGGGTGGCTTTGCCATGCGGCAGTACATTCCAGAACTTATGCCAATGATTATTGAAGCGTTATTGGACGGAGCTGCTGCTGCAAAACGTGAAGTGGCTGTTACCACTCTAGGTCAAGTGGTTCAAAGCACAGGGTATGAATTCCTTTTGATTTTTTTATCCTTTTTCCTTATGGTTTTTCTTCTGTTTTATTCTCTGTTAAATGCTTGAGTGTTGGAGATCAATGATTACTATATTAATGAGTTATGCAACTTTTTGGCTCTGATATTTTCTTCAATTAGACAGAGCAATAATACCTTGATTTGTTTGCTGAAGCCACTATTCTCTAGAAGCTTTCTATAGTCCAGTAGCACAGTCTTCATGGACTGTTATCTGATTATTAAAAAATCATTGAAGATAGAAAATGTATTGACAAAACTTCGTTTGGATGGTTTCACAGGTATGTTATAACTCCATATAATGAGTACCCACAGTTACTTGGTTTACTTCTCAAACTGCTTAATAGTGAGCTAGCATGGTCCACAAGACGAGAAGTTTTGAAGGTAGCTGAAATCAACTGAATGACCTAGATTTTCTTTAGGATAATATTTTTCAAATTATGCTTGTTGATTTATAGGTTCTTGGTATAATGGGTGCTTTAGAACCCCACATGCAAAAGCGCAATCTACTAAGCTTGTCAGGGTCCCATGGCGAAGTTGGCCGTGCAGCCAGTGACCCTGGTCAACATATTCGGTCAATGGATGAATTACCAATGGATCTTTGGCCATCGTTTGCAATGTCAGAAGATTATTATTCCACAGTGAGACTTGAATCTTAACTCTTAACTTACTAAGCAAGTAGAGCGACTTGAATTTGAAATCAAAGACTCTACTTGTGCTTTTTTTAAACCTCATTTTAATTCAGGTTGCAATAAGTTCTCTCATGCGGATTCTTAGAGATCCTTCTCTGTGTAGTTACCACCAAAAGGTGGTTGGATCTCTCATGTTCATTTTCAAGGTTAGTTCAATGTTGGGAATGATCAACTTATAGTGATGATTGTTTTTGTTCTATTAGCAATAATTCTTATGGAGCGCTTCCTGTTTCTTCTCGTGTCATATTTTCTTTATGATCATTTATGCTATTGTGCATGGATTTTAATTTTGTTTTATTTCTTCTGCGAGATAAGTCAATGGGTCTTGGCTGCGTTCCTTACTTGCCCAAGGTCAGTATATATTTCCTTGCAATGATAATAATATGATATATTTCCTTTTGTAACATGAAAGAGTTGCTTATCATGTGAACATGCTTCTACTAAAAGTCATTTTTTCAAAGGCTAGAGTTTCAGTATTCTAAGGTCTGAAGCGAAGTATCCAAAAAAAAAAAAAACCAACCTGTGTATTAGGAAAAAGGTATTCATTATGTAGTCTTCATTGGTGACTGGAGGAGGATGACTGATAGAAGATTATTAGACCAAGTTTCCAGGGGAAAAAAGAAGACAATCATACATGAGGATAACTAAATGAAAATGAAATTTATGCATCAAATACATTCTTATTAAATGAATTTGGGATGAATAACTTGCCATGTTATGGATCTTTGAAAATGTAAGTCTTCTATATATGTATATCATGGTATGTCTCCGAGTTCTTGGGAGGCAATTTCTCTTGGCTTCCAAGGTATCCTTGGGTATCAATCCATGTCAAGAACAAGCATGGCCTGATTAGCTGGACAAAATGAAATTCACAATCTTCTTTCACTCCCCTAGTTAAAGATTTCAATTCTTAATGTATCTTCTATGCAACACTGCCTACTTCCTAGCTCTGCCACTGTCATCCAACGTCGTGTTGCAATCGAACTAGTTTTCCAAGCTTTTCAGTAGTTTCTTCCATCTCCAAATGGTTGTTTTTTTTTTTCCTGTTTATCTGTGCAACAGTTTTTAAGGGTCTAGCAACTTTCTCACCTACTGGGACAATAATGAGACTGAAGCTCCTGATCATAATGGAAGAAATGAAAATTTCGGCAAAATACTTGAAATTTCTGGTGTTCGATATTTATTGTTAGGATTATACTGGGATTTGGTTATGAAATTTTAAAAGTGGCTTTATCTTAATTATCATAAATTTGAATGATGCCTACTGCCATAGTGATAATCTAGATGCTGATTCATATGTTCTTGTTCACTGAATGAAATTTGGCTCTGCACTCATTTCATCTTCAGGTTCTGCCTGATCTCTTCCATACGGTTCGTACATGTGATGATGGTCTTAAGGAGTACATTATATGGAAGCTTGGAACTTTGGTTTCTATTGTGCGCCAGGTGCTTACTTATGGTGGATTTTTTTGTCATATAGCTAGTCATTCCTTATGAGATCCTTTATAAACCATTCTTGTGCATGTACAGCATATCCGTAAATATCTGCCAGAGTTGTTCTCTTTGATAGCTGAATTATGGTCATCCTTCAGTCCACCTGCTGCTAACCGACCTGCCCATGGATCTCCGGTAATGAGCTTTTATGGACTAATTGTTGATGGTTTATTATTACATTATGTAGATGATTGATACAATATTATGGTTTTCTGGACATGTTATTAGATGCTGCATCTGCTTGAACAACTTTGCTTGGCACTCAATGATGAATTTAGAACTCATCTCCCTATTATTCTTCCATCCTGCATTCAAGTCCTCAATGACGCCGAGCGGTTTAATGACTACACTCATGTCATTGACATTCTCCACACTCTTGAAGTTTTTGGTGGTTGGTATCTGTTGTTAGGTCATTCTGTATGCTTCATTAATATCTAATCACATGGCTTGAAATCTCTAACTCGATCACTGCAGGGACATTGGATGAGCATATGCATCTACTTCTTCCTGCATTTATTAGATTGTTTAAAGTGGATGCTTCGGTAGATGTGCGGCGTGCTGCTATTAGGACCCTGACAAGATTAATTCCTCGTGTGCAGGTCAGCATTGAAATTCTTATCAGTTTTTGTAACACCTCGAAAATTTTAGAATAAAAATTTATTTGTTCTATATATTATATTTTTATTATTTTGAAGTTGAGGGGCTGAAGTGATATATGTATTAACTTGAATTTTGGGCTAAAATTTTAAAATATTGTTAAAGCGACGAAAAGTATACCAATATGAGTCTCATNATTACAATTGCATCATGACTCAACCACTAAATTTTTCAACTATAAATAGTGTGCAATTGTCCCACAATTCGCCACCAAAGAAATTTTACACGGCAACTTTCATATAAAGCAGCTGTAAATTTCTAGTATATTTTTTTCAAAAGCTCGTTTGATCAATCAAGGTAAGATACGTTTTGTGCAAGTGCTATGTTTCCGTTTACTTTTATGTTCAATAATTTATGAAGGAATTGTCAGTGGACCTTCGGGTTTGACCTAACGTATGTGAACTCTTTTGGGTTCTTTATAATGAAATGTGAAATCCTTCGGGAATTCGAAATGTTGGGTATCTCGCTTGGTCATCGATATACTCCATAAAGAGAAATGTGGTATGAATTGTCTGTGTTATTGTTATATAATTGCGTATGGAAACTGCACGTATCTTATTGGGTGTTTTTAAAATACTCACTCCTACAAATTTTTACAGGCTACATCGGGTCAATTAGTCTATAGAGGGATGGTGCAATGGAATGCCAAGGGATTTCGACATACGAAAATAAAAAGATTTAATGCCTTAAAATTCATTAGATTGTTTTGTTGAATAACATTATTTCCTTTCTTGTAACTGTTGGGGATCTTGCCAGAGTGGTGGGTGTCTTTGTTAGACTTTTGCTTACCATTGCACTTTATCCATGTTACTTTATTGTTTAATGTGCTTTTCGTCAATATGTTTGGTCGATTTAATATTTATTTTGGTACTTTACTTTAGTCAGACCTTTGATCCCTAGCTTATTTCTAATACGAGTTTTGGTTTTATACATGTTTAATGTGGCTCCTAAAACTGTTTTGGATATCTGTAATATGTATTTTGTGCAAGTCAATCGTTGGATGGTTTTCCTGTTTCTTCTTGTTGTGTATATATCACTTGTGCTCTGTCAGAGCCTTAGACACGTCATTTACTGAAGTTGTTTTTTTTGGGGGGGGGGGGGGTTTTGAATTATTTTGTACTAATAGAAAATTTAATCTTCAGGCTTCCAGAATGTTTGGCTGCCAAAGAAAAGAAGGTAAATGTTATTTACGAGTAATTTTTTAGTCGGTCATATATTTAGGATGTGTTTGACACTCATTTTAATAGAAAAATATGTTTTTGAATAGTGATTGATGGAAGAATGGGTGGTTAAAAAGTAAGGAGAATTTTTAGATTTATCTGTAGTATTATTTTATTGATAGAATGTGTGGTTGAAATGAAGAAAGAGAAGAAGAATGAGAATGAGAAAAAAATGGGTACCGAACAGGGGCTTAATATGTAAATACTGTTTCATTGCCCTTTGGTAATTTTTTGGTAATTTGAGGCCCATGCTACTCGATGCAGCTGTTAGGTCCTTCATTGTTCACATATATTTGCCTCTCATTATCAATTTGATATGGTTAGTTAATGAGATTTGAGGATAGCATTGGAAATGTTTCTTCTGTCTTAAGCTAGCTGCCACAGTTTGACTACCACAAATGCTTTTGGGTAAAAACTGCAGATACTAGCGTTCGGCACACTTTTCCAGTTTTGTATTCTTTTCCAATTTTGAAGTGATCAATAGCCTTCTCTTTTCAACCCGTCAAGGGTACATAACGTTGGGCCACATCTTCCATCTGAAACACAATAACTTCTTTTTAACCAGTGGAATGTCGATGCAAGTAGAAAACATTGTTGGGTTAACATGTGGATTGTTTGGTGGAATTCACTCTTTATGATACATTCTTTTCCATGCTTGAGAGAATGGAAGCTAAGTTGTACGATCTTCACTCTTCTCTTCATTTCCATGTTCAGGGTGGCTTTGCCATGAGGCAGTACATTCCAGAACTTATGCCAATGATTGTTGAAGCCTTATTGGATGGAGCTGCTGCTGCAAAACGTGAAGTGGCTGTTACGACTCTAGGTCAAGTGGTACAAAGTACAGGGTATGAATTTCTTTTGATGTTTTTTGATCCTTTTTTTTCCCTTAACAGTTTTTCTTTTATATTATTCTGTCAAATCCATGAGTGTTGGAGGTTGATGGTTACTTGTTATTTATGATTTGTGCAACTTTTTGGCCCTCATATTTTCTTCAATTAGACAAAGGCATGAATACGTTGATTTGTTTGTTGAAGCCACTCTTCTCTAGAAGCTTCCTATAGTCCAGTAGCAATCTTCACAGACTATCATCTGATTATTAAAAATCTTTGATGATGGAAAATGTATTGACAAAACTCTTTTGTATGGCTTCACAGGTATGTTATAACTCCATATAATGAGTACCCACAGTTACTCGGGGTACTTTTAAAACTGCTTAACAGTGAGCTAGCATGGTCTACCAGACGGGAAGTTTTGAAGGTAGCTGAAATCAACTGAACAACCTGGTTTTTTCCTTTGGATTACATTTTTCGAATTATGGTTGGTAATTTTTAGGTTCTTGGGATAATGGGTGCTTTAGACCCCCACATGCAAAAGCGCAATCTACTAAGCTTGCCAGGGTCCCATGGTGAAGTTGGCCGTGCAGCCAGTGATCCTGGTCAACATATTATGTCAATGGATGAACTACCGATGGATCTTTGGCCATCTTTTGCAACATCAGAAGATTATTATTCCACAGTGAGACTTGACTCTGAACACTAACTTATTCAGCTAGTAGTGAGACTTGCATTTGAAATCAAAGACTCCACTTCCTTTTTTGACCTCAATTTAGTTCAGGTTGCTATAAGTTCTCTCATGCGGATTCTTAGAGATCCTTCACTGTCTAGTTACCACCAAAAGGTGGTTGGATCTCTCATGTTCATTTTCAAGGTTAGTTTGATGCTGGGAATGATAAGCTTATAGTGTTGATTGTTGGTTTATTATCAATAATTCTTATGGATCACTTCCTGTTTATTTTCCCCTGCTTCTTCTAGTGTTATATATTCTTTATGATTGTTTATGCTATCGTGCATAGATTTAACATTGTTTTATTTCTTCTGCGAGATAAGTCAATGGGTCTTGGCTGTGTCCCTTACTTGCCCAAGGTCAGTTTTATATTTCCTTGCAATGACAATAATATATTTTTCCTTTTCCATCATGACAGAATTGCTTATTATGTGAACATGGTTCTACTTAAATTCATTTTTTCAAAGGCTAGAGCTTCAGTATTCTAAGGTCTGAAGTAAAGTATCCAAAAAAAGGGACCTGTGCATTATGAAAAGGTACATTAAATAGTCTTTATTGGTGACTTGAGAAGAAGCGCTGATATAAGACCAAGTTCCTAGGAGAAAAAAAGAGGATACAAGAGGATGAGTAAATGAAAATGAAATTTATGTACCAAATACATTTTTGTGTTAAATGAATTTGGGCTAAATTACTTGTCATTTTATGGATCTGTAGAAAAAGATAAGTCCACTGTATATGTATAGTATGGTATGTCCCCGAACTCAAAAGAAGACATTTCTCTTGGATCCCCAAGTATCCTCGTGTATCCATCCATGTCAAGAACAAGCATGGCCTCATTAGCTGGACAAAATGAAATCCACAATCTTCTTTCACTCCCGGAGTTAAAGATTTAAATTCTTGAATGTTTCACCTATGCAACATTGACTACTTCCTAGCTCTGCTACTGTCAACCAATCTTGTATTGCAGGCAAACGAGTTTCCATTATCTTCAGTAGTTTCTTCCATCTTCAAATACCTTTTTCCCCCTGTGAATTTGTGCAACCAACACTTTTGAAGGGTCTAGCAACTTTCTCAACTACTGGGACGATAATGAAACTGAAACTCTCTGGACATCAGCATAAGAAATGCAAATTTTGGCAAGATACTAATCATATCTGATGTTTGGTATTTATTGTTAGGATTATGCTAGGATTTGATTATGAAATGTTAGAAATTGCTTTTTACTTCTAATTATTTTAAATGATGTCTGCCGTGGTGACAATCTAGATGCCAATTCATATGTTCTTGTTATTTTAACGGAATTTGGCCCTAAATTCTTCCCATCGCCAGGTTCTACCTGATCTCTTTCATACGGTTCGTACGTGTGATGATGGTCTTAAGGAGTACATTACATGGAAGCTTGGAACTTTGGTTTCTATTGTGCGCCAGGTGCTTACATACTTGAGGTGGATTGTTTTATCATATAGTTTGGCATTTGTCTTTAGATCCTTTATATATAATTATTTTGCATGTACAGCATATCCGTAAATATCTGCCCGAGTTGTTCTCTTTGATAGCAGAATTATGGTCATCCTTCAGTCCACCTACTACTAACCGACCTGCCCATGGATCTCCGGTAATGAGCTTTTCTTTGGTACCACAACATACTAATTGTTGATGGTTTATTTTTACATTTTGCAGACGATTGATACATTTTTATTATGACTTTTCTGGACATGTGTTATTAGATTCTACATCTGCTTGAGCAACTTTGCTTGGCACTCAATGATGAATTTAGGACTCATCTTCCTATTATCCTTCCATCCTGCTTTCAAGTCCTCAATGATGCTGAGCGGTTTAATGACTACACTTATGTCATCGACATTCTCCACACGCTTGAAGTTTTTGGTGGTTAGTATCTGTTGTTGGGTCATTCTGGTTGCTTCATTAGTATCTTATTCACGTTGCTTGATATCTCTAACTTGATCACTGCAGGGACATTGGATGAGCATATGCATCTACTTCTTCCTGCACTTATTCGATTGTTTAAAGTGGATGCTTCAGTAGATGTGCAACGTGCTGCTATTAAAACCCTGACAAGATTAATTCCTCTCGTGCAGGTGAGCATTGAAATTCGTACCAGTTTTCATTTGACATGAAAGCCTGGGAAAAATATATTTAAAATTATCCGTCACTTTTTTTTTTTGGTTTTATATTTACCAGGTTACAGGTCACATATCAGCTTTGGTGCATCACTTGAAACTAGTATTGGATGGGTCAGATTTCTCTCTTGATCCTCAACACAAGTGCAGTTTGAAACTCACTTTAAAGAAAGACAAAATATCTTCCCTTTGAGGACACGCTATCTTGGACACCATAGACCTTGTGTTTGCCATGACTTCACACCTAAAAGGGTTCACCAGCACTTGATCAATTTTCTTCGGGAACATTGTTGAGTGACTGACGGCAATATGTTAGATAATGGCATGTGTGGTCTGCTATCAGCATACTGTTTTGCTCTTTTACATTCCTACACAATGGACAGAAGCCAATTACAGATATAAGTTTGCATAAAGGAAGTTCCTTTTAGCATTCATAGGTTAACTATGTTTTCTATTGATGATCAAAAATTAATTAATAGAAGGAAAGAAGTACATAATAGAGGACAATGTGTTTTTGATTGCATAATCTGAAAACATATTAATCTAAGTAAATCAGACAGTTAATGCTCTCCTGGCATGTTGAGCATCTTTTAAAGCTTGACGGCTGATACAGCAATCTGACTCGTCTATAAAGAAGCTAAGAATAGCACCCTTCTGCAATAGCACTCAGCTGTCAATTTGTGATTGTGAGATATTATCTACCTGTCAATATGGGATCATCAGATGGTATACTTCCACAAACTCTTGCTGTCGCAAGTACCTCCAAATCCCCCAGAATCTGAGCAGAAATTTAGACGAGGATGCTGCTAGAACTTAGGAATCCCTAAAAATATCAAACAAAATCTCCTCTAGAGATGCTTGGCACATTTAGAATGCTAAAAGAGTATAAAGCGTTTCATTGCTCTCCTAGCTCTTGACAAGTATTGGGTGATGGGGATGTGTTGGGTCTTCATGAAAAATATATGCCTTAAAATCTTCACTCCTTGGATAAACACATAGATCATCTGTAGATAGAAAAGAGGGAATCGTTTGATATAATTGTACGAGTTTTTTAAGATAGAGAAAAAGTTATACATCTACTTACCAAACCAAAGGTCGTTGTAAATTTCTCGTAAAACTCAATTAGCTGAATCTACCAGCCGTAGTTATCCCAACTTCTTACACTTCAACTAAATATTTGTGTTGCAGAAAAAATAATGGGCTTAGAACGGATGCTGTTGATGCATTATGCTGTTTAGCTCATGCTCTTGGGGAGGACTTCACTATTTTCATCCCATCCATCCATAAGCTTTTGCTGAAGCATCATTTACGAGTATTGTTTTGTCTTAATATGTTTCATCTCACTTTCTTTTCCATATTTTGAAATTCTGAAATTTGTAAATAATTTTCATGTGTTTGTTTCTGTCTACCAGCACAAGGAATTTGAAGAAATTCAAGGTCGCTTGAAAAAACGGATGCCACTGATCTCGGGGAGTACATCTGCTCAAAGACTAAGTCGTAGGCTTCCTGTTGAGGTTATTAGTGACCCTTTAAGTGATACAGAGAATGATCACCGTGAAGGGGGTACTGACATGCAGAAACAACATAAAACTCATCAGGTACTTTGTTTTGTTCTCTTGTGTAGCGTAAACAATTGTGTAAACGAGCCATTGCTGATAACCCATTTTGACTTGCCCAGGAAAGTGTTCTGTTTGATGATTATGAGCTGTTTGAGTCAATTATTGAACATTAAATGATTTCAACTGCAGTATATTACTCTGTTACTTAATCTTTCTTATGAACACTTCTAAAATGATAAAAGTGCAATATCTTGTGCCTATTACTGATCCCAGGACCTGATTTTTGGAGTTTTCAATTGCGTCAAGAAAGTGAGAACATTTGTGATGATGCGTCCTGGCGATATACTCAGAAAAAGAAGTCTAATACCTCAGCGATGTTGGAAGTCTTCTTGAATAGTTACTAGTGTTAAGAACACAAACTTGTTGCTTGGATATTGAACTTTGTTTCTTTTTACTCATTAATGCATTTATTGGATAAAAGTATTGAAAAGCTAAACCACCATAGATGAATTGAATATTGTTAATGCGGCTCTCTCTCTCTCTCTCTCTCTCTCGGTTACTATGACTAAGATGTTGGACATATGATTTGGTTTGCTCTAAGTTTGTTGTATGTGTTTTTTTTTTTTTTTGGTTCTTTTTCTTTTTCCATTTTTCATAAAAGAGAGATCTGGACTATTAACCTGTGCATTTCATACAGGTTAATGATGTTCGATTGCGGACTGCTGGGGAGGCTTCTCAGCGAAGCACCAAAGAGGATTGGGCAGAGTGGATGAGGCATTTTAGCATTGAGCTTCTGAAGGAATCACCTTCACCAGCTTTAAGAACTTGTGCCAAACTTGCACAACTGCAGGTATCTATCAGGGATTCTGACATTTATCTTGCTTTCCTCCTGCATCCCATCATGTACTCTCCACCAAACCCATTAATCACAACCCAACAGGCAGGTATAGTTTCCCTACTATCAGGTTTCTAATACTGTGCTTTTGCAGCCGTTTGTTGGGAGGGAATTGTTTGCAGCCGGTTTTGTTAGCTGCTGGTCACACCTGCACGAGTCTAGTCAGCGACAGGTAGTACGGAGTTTGGAAATGGCATTTTCCTCTCCAAACATACCTCCAGAAATACTTGCGACACTTCTGAACTTGGTATGGCTTCTTTTTTCATTTTTTACCTTAAAGTGGAGAATTCTGTACATTTTCACTCTTGCATACCTATGATGTTTAGGGTGACCACGCTTGGGTATTAAGTTATTCATTGAAAAGGTCTATTCGCTAGGTTGGTTCACTCGAACTTGTGGGTTGAGATGACCAAACCAGGCATAAATTTGAATTTGGACAAATTTGACAACTTGTCCAAAGATTCAATTCATGCAGTTTTGTTGTTTTGACCTTGAAAAAAATTCATTGGGTACAGATGGCACGAAGATTGCATCATCAAGCTTTGTATCATTTAGGGCATGTTTGAGCCCAATTTTTTGGGTTAGAATGCATTTTGAAATAATAGATTAACAGAGAATGTGTGGTTAAAAAAAAAGAAAAGTTTTGGACTTCGTGTAATATTATTTTATTGAAAAATGCATGGTTGAAAAGAAGATAGAGAAATATATTTGGAAAAAAATGGGAATCAAACAAGGGCTTAATGGGAAAGTTATTTTTAGCTTATGATTGGCTTATATTAAAGTAACACTTGAAATGGTTGGAGATAATGAAATCAAAACCTTGGGCGAATATTTTTCCCTAATTGATTCTGCTGATCAGTATGCAAAATGTCTTTTCCAGGCTGAGTTTATGGAACATGATGAAAGACCCCTTCCTATAGATATCCGTCTACTTGGTGCTCTTGCAGAAAAGGTTGGCTTTTCCTGAAGGCAATTTTGGGAAATCTACTTACAACTATGTGCCTACACTACCTCGTGCACAAAATTTTGTTATTCCCGTAACTCTTTTTTCAGTGTCGTGCATTTGCAAAGGCTCTGCACTACAAAGAGATGGAATTTGAAGGTGCACGCTCAAATAGGATGGAAGCAAACCCTGTTGCTGTTGTTGAAGCACTTATCCATATAAATAATCAATTACATCAGCATGAGGTCATTGTTTTTTAGTGCGTGCCTCATGCTCCCATTTATTTTACAAACCAAATCTTGTCATTATCTGGGTTATTATTCTGTATTTAGGCTGCAGTTGGGATATTGACCTATGCTCAACAACATTTGGGAGTTCAACTGAAGGAGTCATGGTACCTCTGCTATCTCTTAATTACTCCACCATTTCCTTATCATCATAAAATTCTGATATGCGTGTGGTTCAAGTACATTTGAAAATCCCTTTTATCATATAAAATGCTGGATCAAGGTATGAAAAACTTCAGCGGTGGGATGATGCTCTCAAAGCTTACACTGCCAAAGCCTCTCAAGCCGCGACTCCACATCTTGCTTTAGATGCTACTCTAGGTTTGTCTCGATTCACACTTGAGAACTAATTGAATGCTATTATGTTTTACTTTTTCTTTTGTCATGTTTACTGGATTTTTTATTCTTTGCAACAATTTCAAGACGAATGGAAAAGATTACTTCCAGTTACTTCATATAATTATCACCTATTTATTTGGATGCTGTTCCTCCTTCATTAGATGAGACCTTTATTTATTGTTCACTTTTCCCCTTGCATTCATTGAATCAAGCATTTATTTGAGTGTTGTCGTAAAAACTTGGGTTTGCATGGGAAACCAACCAACAAGCACAAAGATGTAGTTTTTGCTCGTGTTTAGATGCATGATAATGTTTCCAACTTCATTAGTGGTGACGTGGTGTTTATTTGTATAGCTACTTCATTAGTGGCGGAAGTTTTTTTTAGCTGTAGTTAAGTACTTCCATTAGTTAGGTTTACACTAAATTGTTAGTGTAGGGACATACTCGTTGTTGCTCTCGCTTAGAAATATTGGGGATGGATTTCATTGGATGTTCATAGGAGTTTATGGGCCTAATTCTGATGAGAGTAGAAGGGGCTTGTGGGATGACTTGACTAGTATGATGGCTTGGTGGAATCTCCCAACGTGTATTGGGGGTGATTTTAATGTGAGTCGATTTCCCACCGAACGGTCGAGTGGTGGGAGACTAACTGGGGTTATGGAGGAATTTTCGGATTTTATTAGGGAGAATTTGTTGGTGGATATGCCTATGATTGATGGAGACTTTACTTGGTCTTCGAATCGAGATCAACCTGTCCTATCTCGTATAGACGGATTCTTCGTTAGCGGAGAGTGGGAGGCTAAGTACTCGGATGTTATTCAAAGGAGATTGGGAAGGGTGTATTCTGATCATTTCCCCATTTTATTAGTTGGGAATACTAGGGTAGTGGAATAAGGCCTTTTAGGCTTGAGAAGATGTGGTTAAAAGTGGAAGGCTTTGGGGAGCGCGTACGAAATTGGTGGGCTTCTTATGATTTTCCGGGGTCTCCCAGTTATGTGTTAGACCAAAAGTTGAGGGCGTTAAAAAGGATTTAAAAAGGTGGAATGAGGAGGTGGTAGGAAATGTGAATTTTCGTAAGGTCCAGTGTCTTTTAGACATAGAAGTGTTGGATAAGATTAAGGAGAGTCAAGGGTTCGATGGGGAGGAAAAGGAGAGATGTGGTGTATTAAGGGAAGAGCTTGTGAGGTTGGTGGAGATGGAAGAGATTGCTTGGCGCTAGAAATCTAGGGTCACATGATTGAAAGAGGGGAGATAAACGCACCAAGTTCTTCCATATGGTAGCCAATTCTAATAGGCATAAGAATTTTGTTACAGTGTTGGAGGTTGATGATGTTACTTATGAGGATCCACAGGATATTGGGACCCATATGGTTAGATTTTACCAGAATCTATATCAGGAATCGTTTGAGTGGAGGCCAGAGTTGGAGGGTTTGGAGTTCTCTACTATTACGGAGGAGGATACCGGATGGAAATTAAGGAGATGGTGTTTAGTATGAATAATGATAAGTCTCCAGGATCTGACGGTTTTTCATTCTCATTTTATATGGCGTGTTGGAAGGTGGGACGACAAGATATTATTAATGTTTTCACTTACTTTTTTGAGCGAGACAGGTTTTTGAGGTCTAATGCAACATTTATTGTGCCGATACCTAAGAAACCTAGAGTGACTGATAAGGATTTTAGCGCTATTAGCCTAATCAGTGGGGTGTACAAGATTATTGCGAAAGTATTAGCGAATAGACTCAATGAGGTACTTGGGAAAGTGGTGTCTAAGTTTCAGAATGCTTTCGTGAATGGTTCAGATATTGGATTCTATACTTGTAGCGAATGAATGCATTGACTCAAGATTGCGCCTAGGGGTTCCAGGGATGCTTTACAAGCTTGATATTCAGAATGTTTATGATCATGTGAACTGGAGGTTCCTCCTGTATATGGTTAGACGCTGTAGATTTGGGGATAAGTGATGTACGTGGATTCAGTTCGGTATCTCTATTGTTTCATTTTCTGTTCTGGTCAACGGTACCCCTGGAGGCTATTTTCGGAGCAAGGGGATCCTTTGTCTCCGTTGCTGTTTGTTATTGTAATGGAGGCCTTTAGTAGGATGTTCGAGAAAGTGAGGCGGGAGAACTTGATAAAGGGTTTTACGGTTGGTCAACAACAGGTGTCTCACTTGTTATTTGCAGATGACACACTGATCTTATGTGACGCGGATGAAGAGCAATTGATGAACTTACGTCGGTTACTCCTTTGCTTCGAAGCGGTGTTTGGTTTGAAGATAAATATGGGGAAATCCGAGGTTATTCCAGTTGGAGAGGTCACTAACGTGGAGGAACTCGCTGTTATTTTGGGATGTAGGGTGGTGCAGTTAACTATGTCATAACTAGCGCTCCCTTTAGGGGTGCAGTTTAAAAGTATTGAATGCTATTGTGGAGAAGGTAGAAATGAGGTTAGCGGTTGGAAGCGTATGTATCTCTCGAATGGAGGTCGTCTTACTCTCATTAAATCTACTCGATCAAATATCCATACTTATTTTATGTCACTGTTTCCCATTCTTGCTGCAGTGGCTAACAGATTA